CAACTACAGTTACAGTATTAATTACATAGATTCCTAACAGTTTAAAATATTTAATATTTTGCTAATTTTAATGTAATCAACCTTTTTTCTGTATTTTATAGCTGCTCTACAAGAGACGTATGCTCAAATATTTCTGTTCTAGTCAGTCTTGCAAGGACATTAACAAATGCATACTGATCTAGCAACCTATGTTCTGCCAATTTGTGACCCACTAAGCCTTATTCAGTTATTGTGATCTCAAGTAAATAATGACTGTACTCAAATAACAACTTTTTCCAAACAAGAAACCAACATATGTTTGAAAAAAAAAAACTTTTAAATGCACCGACAAAATCCTTTTTTGACAAATCAAATGCAAAATAGTTTTTGAATGATTTTGTTGGGAAAGTATATAGTTGAAAGTAAAACATGATGTGGTTATTAATTCTCTTTCTTTTTCTCACTCTGTTATTATATATATATGAAATTATATGCTTTTTATATCACTCTTGAAATTACTCTACACTTATTTTACATTTTATTTAAATAAAATAAACTATCTTTTCTCAACTGTATTTTCCCAGTTTATCCGTGATAGAAACTAAGCATTATACAAATCACAGATTCATATTTGTTTTTCACCTCAACTCTGCCAGGTGGATAGAACAACTTATTCTGTATCTTGTTCAATGTTATATTATTATTAGTACTAGTATCAGTTCCTGGTTTTAATTAGTCTAATTATTTTAGTAATAAAATTGGTAATAGTATTATGAGGTAAAGGATTATAACATAAAGGTAAATATAATACTGTATAAACAGCGAGTGTACAGAAATAAAGAAACAACGCATTCTAATAAATATAATTAAGAACTTTAGTTGTTTAATTAACTATAAATATAGCTATTATAGGGCTGATTGTTCGTTTTGATTAAACTTCTTAGTTACTACTGCACATTACATTTTACAATATACAAACCACGTTAATTTAATTAAACTTAAATTCAATAAAAGTTAAGCTTACTTTACTACTGTCTTTAGTTTAAAGTTAAAGTTTGACTTTAAATTTAAGTACTTTTAGATATATTTATTATAAACAAAACATAATTTAAAATAACCGCCAAACCTTTTTGCAGTTTTTTTGAAGCCACTGTCGCACGACATCAAACTGAACTATTGTTTCTTGTGACTCGTAAAATTTTATATTTGGACTCCCGTCTTTTTTTCGGTTTATGGACGCCATTTTCAAATAAGAGAATAATGCCCGTAGATATTATATATATCTATGATAATACCACTAGATATACGTTAATAATAAAAGAGGCACTCTAACGGCAAGAATATACAAATGATTTGATTTTTTTAAAAACGTTTAATTTTGTTTTTATCTTTCCACCATAAATTTATTTTAACAAAACATGGCTATCGGACTTGGGTGCTTAATTTAAGGTATTAGTTGTTATAAGTCGCAACAACAAGGCTTCAAATAATAATATCAGATGTATGGTTTGATTTGATGAAAAATATGCTCAAAAACACGACTGTTTGTGAGAAACCTAAAATCCAAAACTGAGCGTAAAGATAATAACAGAGAGTAAGATATATGAGCAATATTTACAATGAACTATTTGATTACAACACTCAAAGTGGCAGTAGCAAGTTTGTGTTAATAATTAGGTAAGTAAATAAAAGAAGCCAATAAGTTCTATGACAGCAGCAAATCTTTACGCTGTACTGTGTAGAGAAAAATAGTTCGGCTTGTCAAATGAAATTCTAAAGCAATTGAGTAGGCCTAAGTGGACTTTTGACAACAAGAAGAGAACTATATATATGTGTGTGTGTGTGTGTGTGTGTATAGTGTTTATGGCATCCCTGTAATCTCTATAGTGTAAAGAATTTGTTGTACATATGGTTAACTAGTTCCGACTATATATTATTTTGAAAACAAGTGGAGTGAGTGATGTTCGTTTATTTTTTAATTTATCGCCAACAAGTCACAGACACCTACTAATCCTAAGCCCAATAAAAACAACACAGTATATATTTATACTATTAAGAAGTATAAGTAAAAGCCTTTAATTGAAAATTGGCGAACATAACTTAACGTCTGACAAGCATACATAGTAGACTAAAGTTTTCCCATTATGTAATAAAAACAAGCTCTCTATCTCACATTCCAAGAAAAAATTAAACTCACTTACACAACCTATCAATAAATAGATAGACACCCAAGAAAAAAGTTTTATTAAATAAACAAAGGGTAAAAGATTTTTATTAGTATTTAGTGTATCTGCCTTCTGCAATATTTAAGGAAGAAACACAGTTACACATCAAATTTACAAGATCTGAAATCTTGACTTGTGGGATAGCACCCTATTCCTGGTTTCTTTCAGTACCCATTCAAGCTGTCTCCAAACTTTTTCTTTTCAGTCTATCATTTCAAAATTAGGGACAGCTATAGCAGGTTACCCTCAAGCAGAGCGAGATTGAATATAAACAAACCAAAATCAACCAGTCATGGTGTTCTCTCCAAGTTTGAGGGTTCACAATCATGGTTCTCCATTGTTCCCTATTCCTTGCTATATTCATCAACTTTCTTTTTTCAAGCTTCTCATCTCTAATCCATTTTCTGATGTAATCAAGGCGAGTGAATCTTTGCCTACCTAATGCAAGAACTTTCCATAACCAAACAAGTCTACATGATATGGTAGGATGTCCAAATCCCTTCCCCAGCCATTTGATGTTAGTGTCACTGGTCAGATGAGTGCCAATGAGTAATTAGTGGGGTAGCTTTAAAAGATCCATGTAAGCCCCCCCCCAAAAAAAAACACTTCTGATAGAACCCTAGTACTACTGTTTAATTATTTTTGGTAATCTCAAACTCATTCTCACACTATCTTCTGAATGGTTACCATTTCAGGTGTTGATGGGTGTCTGCCTAGCTTGCAGTTATGATTTCTGGTAATCTAAAACCCACACACACTGATTTAAAGTGCTAAACAAAGAATTTTGTTCACTGGTAATATCCATCAGGAGGAGACAGTCAACTCTTATTTGGTGTAAAGCATTATTAATCTCCTATAGCAACAATTTCTCATTGGTATCACCAGGGATTCCTTCTTTACTGTAACTTCTGGTAGATAATACAGAGAAAGCAACAAATATTAGCAGTCTTGGTTGAATTTCATTTGCCTTGATTGATACTAAAACTGTGGATATTGGTTGGAACGAATTAATTTCCTGCCTCTCCAACTGGGTCAGACTGCAGGCTAGTAATTTGAGCTCCCAGAGGTTAATATGTTTTGCATCTCAACATCATTCAATCATGTACTGCATTTGAAGTGGGGTCCAGTTTGTAAGTGGCCCCAGTTCTCTATGAGGCTATTTTTACATTTAAGTAAACTTTTACTGTGTAGCTTTGGATCCCTGTTTCACTACCACTTTAAATTATAATTTACTATAAAGATTTATAAAGAATGTTTTGAAGTCTTTGACATATACAGAGGGTTGAGTGCATTATAGTAAAGCTGTGAAAATTGGCAAGTCATTTAAAATCACAGATGATATAAAATAGTGGAAAGGAATATATCAAAATTACATTTGTTTGACATTTCGTAGATAGTGCGATTATGTCAAAAATTGAATGCTTTTGGGAAGGGCATGTAACAGCTCTTTCTGACACAAAACGTTTACTCACTTAAATAATAAAGATACGTACAGACCGGGGATTTAGAATTTCTGAGATGGGTAAGTCCCTTGTACTTTATGGCATTGGATGAAAAAAGGAAAATGGATCAATTTGGGGCACTTGAACCATTTATCCAGAGACCTGCTACAAATCATACCCAAGCTATGGAAGCAAAGTGTAGTATCTTGTAACGGGTGAGAATTCACAAACAGAAAGGTCAGTGGCAAAAGCCAACTCCATGATCCAGGCCACAGTATGCAACATAATCAAGAAAACTGTGTGAGTGGAAAAGTGACATAAGTTACATGTACAGAAGCTGCTTCCAGTACATATATTAATTCAATCACTGGATGCAGTTGGAGTATGAAACGGGTATTTCATATAAGGATATACCAACAAAGTCGTCACACACACAGCACCTATCAATTTGAACAAGACAGGTACTGGAAAGCTGTCGTCCTCCTACACTAAATTGCTTGTGGAAGTATAAGAACCTTATGATGGAGCTTTTTGCAATGGAAACTACACTGCTCTTAAGATGCATGGTTGTTAGATAGAGCATGATCTGTGTGTTGAGACGGACTATAACGACGTGGTGAGGCTCTAAAATCAGTTTAATACAACGTATTTTTAGTCAAGGGGACGGAGGAAATCACGTGTATACTTGAAAGAGATGTGTCAGATTTTATTCCCATCGACCAAGCTTTTTTTAGTGCCACATCTTTCTGCCAACATACAACACGACAGATAACACTAGCTATGAAACAATGATATAGCTTAACTGCAAAAATGTTGTATTCTTATTATTGCTAAACTGTCGGATATTTGTTTGAATCCAGAACCAGAGGTGGGCTGGTTCTGGCTTTCACAAACGAGTGCAATCTGATCCACATCGCTATAACCATGTGGGATGCTATAGAGGTCGCCTCAATCTGGTGCTTGTTACCTTAAAAGGGAACCCTTTAATAAATTAGATGTTTTCAGATTATTTTTGGTTCGTCAACACCGAAAATGAAGCTTTTGTATAAGTATATTCCAACAAGTGAACTGAGTTTGCACTAAACACACTTAACTGTAATTTAACTAAGAAATAAATAAAGATTATTAATGATATGTCGTAATGTGTTGACTAATAATGAATAAAAGAACTCCTTTATTTACTCACTCAGGAAAATAATTTTGAATAAGACCAAGTGATATGAAAGTTTCATCAACCTCTTGAGAGAGAGAGAGAGAAAAAAACAGGGTTGTCCACTTATGGATTCTAGGCTTATTAATCCACGGAAGGCACTTTTTAATGCCGTATAAAATACCGATGAAAAAACACACTTGATTCTATTAGAAATTATTTTATTTTGGTCTTTGGAGTATGCAAACTTTTTTTATGCCATAATAATTTGATGATACAAATATTTTTGCCTTACAGGGAGATCACAGCAATTAGATCATACGACGAATGGAATCCAATTTTTCTGGAAATTGTGACTAAAATAAGAGACATAAAATTTACATGATTTATTATGTTCTAAAGATTTCTACTACTACTAAGCATATTGGGTTTAATAGGAAAAGTTTTAGTCATCTCAGGATAACCAACAGATTGTGAATAACGTACAAATACATAAGTAGTCAAGACAACGATCTTCGTGCCAATTGAAGACAAAGTGAAAGCAGTTTTTTCTTATGTTCATTGAGCTTCTTCTGGGAAAGGTCCCGCTAGGACAGTTTTGACGAACGCTGAGTAGAGAAACACAATATTAATAAACAATTCATTGAATTGACGAACGCTAAGTACAGAATACACAATATTAATAAATAATGCTCTGAACTGACAAAAGTTAAATAAATAATACACAATATTAATAACCTATGCTTTAAACTGACGAAAGCTAAGTATAGAATAAATAATATTCATGAACAATGTTCTGAAGTCTTAAACTGCATCCACACTTGGCACTGGCGGCGCTAGCGGTGCAGCAGAGAGTCTATCCACACCAGACTCGCATTGGAAGCAATCCAAAAGATTTGACTCTTGCGCGTATATTTCTGTGTGATTTCATGCACTCCTAGTTTCAGCTCCAAATGTATACACTAGAGATGAAGCTATCCAGTTTTTATTGAATCAACTTACTGCAGTCTCAACTCTGATTTAAATATGAATATTATTTTTAACAAATGCATTCTATGATCTTTTTTGTTTATTGACTCTTTCATTATTTAAATTATATTATTGTTGCGCACGGTAATTAAGTAGCAATATTCAATTTAACAACTGCTTAATTTACACGATAATATCTTTCAGCTTAAGGGCAATTTTAAAACCCTATTTAAAAAATGTTCCGGTGATAATAGACACATTGATCACCCTATATATATATATATATATATATATATATATATATAGAGAGAGAGAGAGAGAGAGAGAGAGAGAGACG